TGTTACTTGTAACCATTGTGGGTGTGCCTGCCCATCAGACACTCGATCTTGCAAGACCGCCATGAAAGTCGCTTCACCGTAACTCGTGGTCCTTCTTTGGCATTGGGCGGGTGAGGGCAATTCTCACATGCACGACTTGTTCTGAGTGAAGGTGTCTCCAAATAATTCAACCCATTCTTTTTTTGTAGACCGAGTCTGGCTATGTCTGATCTTCCTGCCTCAGTCTACCCAGTAGCTGGGATTATAGGCCAGCACCATGGTCCCCTGGCTTTTAGTGGGAAGTGCATGCCAGAAATCAAACCCTGGCCTCCCACATGGCCTCAGCTCTGGAGTCTCCCTTTGGGACTGAAAGCCCTCAGCACTGAGGAGTAGAGAAAAGCAATGTCAGCTTTGTGCTGTTCAAATTCCTCACTCAGAGGCCAACCGATGACATGGGTTTGCATTGATGGATTCCCACATGGTCAAATCATGGTTCGAGTCCCAGATCTGGTGGCTTGAAAATCATGCCAGGCACATGTGTGTGCATGCCCATAATCCTAGGAGGAGAATGGACGAGAAAGGAGTGTGGAGTGGTGAGCCCCCTGGGGATGATGTCTCACTTTCCTCTCACTATCTCTGTCTCTGTCTCTCTTGCACGTGCACAGGCACCCTAAGGCAAAAATGTCTTCAAAACAAAACAAAGCAAAACTCCCAGACCCTGTGAGCATCCAGTGGGCGTCATGCAATGGCTGTTGTACATCCCTAAATTTGGAGATGGTTTGAGAACAACTGTTGCAGCTTGAATGGAGGCAGTGGGAGAATTGGGTGGAGGCAGAGGGGTAGGAGTGGCATAAGAGAGATCGAAGAAGAGGCTAGGAAAGGACCTCAGACATTGTAAGGGGGGGTGTCTGCACCCCATTGAAACCACAGATGTGGAGGAGAAGGGATAGCGCAGGATGCGTTTTGGAGGAGAACTCGCTGCACGCCGACACCCAGGGAGAGTAAGGAGGAGAGAGCACGAAAGCTTCGGCCTGCACCCGGATATTTGGAGTTGGGGTGTTGGAGGGCAGTTCAGAGCCCCCATCCTCTCCCCTCCCAGCCTCCAGCGACTACATCTCCCAGCAT